TTCCTTAAGCCCTTCTGTCCTCGCTGCTATTCTATGAACATCCTTAATACAGTCTTGCTTTAGGGTCTTTTCATTTACTGTTTATTTTCACTCATGTGTATGTAGGTGACTCCCTCAGTCTCCTTTAACTCTCTGCTCAAGGGCCACCTTGTAAGAGAGAATTTCTCCGACAATACTATTTTAAAACAACTTCCCTCCTACCTCACTATCAGTCCCTTCACCCTGCTTTATTTTTCTTCTTTCTCACCTCCAACTAGAGTGAGCTCCATGAAAGCAGGGACCTAATCTATTTTGTCTATTGCTTTATCTCTAGAGCTTACATCATGTGTGACACATATTAAGCAAATAAATGTATTTGCTGATTAGAAAAAAGACATTTAAGGCCAGTTCTTGGTGGCTGGTTTTAAGAGGACTAGTGATAAGGTTATGATGTGCCCATAGGAAAGCCATCAAGGTCTAGATTCCTTTCAGTTAGGGGTAAGATTGTTCCGTGCAGATCCAGAAGAAAGGAGCAAGACCCCTAGGTTATAGGGGGACAGATTTGGGCTAAAAGTAAGAAAGAACCTGATAGTAATTGCAGCTCCTGAAAAGTTTTTTATTTTTCCGTTAGATGCTTATATAGATTGTATGACCACTTTGGGGAATAATTGTAGAGGAGATTTAAGCATGTTAAGCAACATAGTTTATATTCTAACATTTCTCAAAAGTATATGATTCTGTATTGACTCAAAAATAATCACTGAGTTTGGTTATTCTTCAAAGTGCTACTGGACATATGTATCTATTATGTTAACACCTAAATCAAGGGGTTGAAAAATCATACCTTCTGGGCTAAAGTTGGCCTGTCCCCTCTTTTTGTAAATAAAATTTTATTGGAACACAGCCCTGACTGTTCGTTTATATATTGTCCATGGCTTCTTTCACACTATAATGGCACAGTTGAGTAGCTGCAACAGAGACTGAATGACACTCAAGAGTCTAAAATATTTAGTATGTGGCCCTTTACAAAAAAAAAAAAGTTGGCTAATCTCTGCACTTAACCAACAAATTGCAAAAAATAATACATAGAAACCATCTCTGTTCAGTCGCCCAAATACCTTGTCAATATCATCATCGTTGCTATTTTTTATTGTTTTATCAATAAAGATCCAACCATAATAATATAACCACTCTGAATATTTAAATAGAGGGAATTTAATGAAAAGAATTGATGGAAGAGACAGGAAGATGCCACCCATCCTCCCAGGGAGACCAAGGAAGGAAGTAGTTTTATCAGAGTCCAGAGGCTGGGATTATACATTAGAAGGTGGAACAGAAACTGGATGGGGTTGGAGGGTACGGGTGGTGGGAGCGGTAAGTGTGGTCCTGTTACCTGAAGTTGGAGTCACAAAAAGATTCTGCTTTTGCCTACAATGCTGCCTGAGGTGGAGAGAGAGAGAAACATTCTGGCTTCTGCCGTAGTGCCTTCCATTGTCTGAACCATTGTTGGAAATCAGCAGACACAGAAGCCTGAGAAATGGAGTTTTCAGAGTTTGTTCCCCTGAAATACAGAACAGTGTAGAAGAAGGTGAGGAATGCATCTAAGAACGCCCAGAGCCAAGACCAGAACAGCTGCTCATAGTTATTCAGTGCTACAGTATCTGTACGCCAGGTACAGAGCTAAACAGTTTGTATGAATCCTCACCTGGGAGGTAAATACTAGTATTATGCCCCGTTTATAGATGAGGCTTGCAAAATTAAGTACATTGCAGGTACATTGCTAAATACACCAAATTAGAATTCACTCCAGGTTGATCATACTCCAAAAGTTTGCTTTTAGTTCTCTTATAAATGAGCAAAAAGTAGTTTGGAGAAGAAAAGAAACTTGCTAGCTGAAATGACGGTTACTCCTGTTAAGTTTTTGTACATCTTAACAGAGCTACAACCTTATGCTGTTACTATAGCATTTAGAGTTCAAGGAAACCCCCACTTAGATGAGGGAGTGTCCTTACACCTTGAAACTATTATTAAGCAGCCTTTGTGTACCCAGTGTACTGGGTAAAAGGGATTATTAATTGTAACTACCTAAGAGTGTTGAGATAGTTTGAATAGGTAACACAGCTAGAGACCTCTGAATAGTGTGCCACAGAATGGGTACCTGATAAACGCTCAGTAAATGCTAAGTAGCTGTTGTCATTGTTAATATTTTTATTATCGTGACTCTAGGAGTGGTTATCACAGGAAAAGAGTGTAAATTAGAAAGTTTATGAAATATTATCCAAATGCTTTATTAAACCCTTCTGTTGGACTTTTTACTTTGCCTGTATTTAGGAGATTCCTTACAACATAGTCAAGAATGGGGTGGTTTTCTTTTGTTTGTTTTTCTGTGAATGGTCCCCATGATGCCTTAGTTTGTTAATTCAGAAATTTTTCATGTGGTTTTCTATGAAATGTAGTCTCCTCTTATGATTTCGTAAGTTCCTTTCACCTAGGATGGCCTTTCTCCAACTGTTCCCAACATATGACCTTCGCCTTCCTGTGCCCGTGTCTTTACTTGGTTTCAGTCTTAATAGTTCCCTCCGCCTAGAAATTTTTTCTCTCTCATCCAGCTCAATTCCTATAATACTTTATAATATTATGAAGGATAATTATTGGGGCATCTGAGTGGCTCAGTCGACTGAGTGTCCAACTCATGATTTTGGCTCAGGTCATGATCCCAGGGTCGTGGGATTGAACCCTGCATTAGGCTCCACACTGAGCCACTCCCTCTGCCCTTCTCCCTCGCTCATTTGCACTCTCTCTAAAATAATAAAAAATAAAGTACATAACATTTTTTTTAACAAAGGGTAATTGTTTTTAATACTTTTATTATAATTATAATATACTTGAGATTTTCCTCCTCCACAAATATTTCCCTAATTAATCACATGACACATGGATCTTTTACTTTTATTACAGCACCTATAGGTCACCTGTACCATGCTGTTGTATATTCACTGCCTGAGACAGTGCTATGTATCTGGTAGAATTTTTTTTTAAGGTTATTCATTTATTTTAAGAGAGAGGGAGAGAGTGCCCACAAGGAGGCAGGCAGGGGCAGAGAGAGAGGGAGAGAGAGAATCCCAAGCAAACTCTGTGCTGTCAGCATAGAGCCCAACATGAGGCTCAAACTCACAAACCGTGAGATCAGAACCTGAGCCAAAATCTAGCTGGTTGCTTAACTAACTAAGCCACTCAGATGCCCGGGTAGCATTGGTATCTGGTTTCTCCAACTAGATTAAAAGCCATGCTTGAATGAATGTTTAGGTGGTTGGTGCTTTACAAATACTTAAGTATTATATGAAAACTTGTAGTTGGAGTTCAAAGTATTTGTATTATATATATAAAAAAAGTCAATGATGTTTGCTTAAAAATCAGTCTTGCTGCATGGCAAAGCCACTGACAACTTTAGTCCTTGTGTCAGATTCCCTGAAAGTAGATAGAATGGATTTTCTTTGATCCAAACATAAGCACACCATGAAACAAAACACCCTGGAAGTTATGTAGTAGGTAACCTATAGTAAACAATTATTTGCCATTTTTTAAAAGGCAAATAAGAAGGGTGATTGATAAGCACAATCATTAGGTTTGATATTGCAGTTTCATATTTTATTTATTTATTTTAAATGTTTATTTTTTTAAATTTATTTTGAGTGAGAGAGAGAGAGAGAGAGCACACAAGCATGGGAGGGGCAGCGAGAGAGAATCTCAAGCAGGCTCGTGGAGAGCCTGACGCAGGCTTTGATCCCATGAACCGTGTCATCATGACTTGAGCCAAAATGAAGAGTTGGATGCTTAACTGACTGAGCCATACAGGCGCCCCTGGCCTATTATTTTTATACATTCTTCAAGGGACCATTTACAACATACTGACCTCAGAAAACCTTATAAATGTAGAGATCCAAGGGAGGGTAGTAAAAATCTCAGAATGACCTCTGAGAGTTTAATCTACTCATCATTTATTCACAGTTAAGAATTTTATCTACTGACCTGTTTTGTTCTTCCATATGTGAGTGGGTTATTTTCTCCATATTTCAAAAGCAGTAACAGTTTTTTAGGTGCCACAACTGCAGAACTCTAAAAGATAAGTCAAGTTAGGTCAGATTGCTCAAACACTGTGACATGTTGTACTTTTAATTCTTTGTGAACTTAGAGATTGAATTTAGGGTGCCCTGTGGTATTTGGAATCTAGACCTAACTACATTGGCAAGGTTTTCCTTTTTAAAAAATTCAGGTAGAAGAAGCATTCCAAATGTTTAAAAACAAATAACCCTCTCTTCACCCTCTCAACATCCTTCTCTCTCCCTACCCAACATATGCACATGTTTTGAATCAATTTAGTATTTTACTTTCTGTGATGTTCAGAGATTAAATGTAAATCTTAATAAGTCCAAATTCCTTGAATTTGAAGGTGTTTAGACTTGAGGCATAGCATTTGCCCAGTTCATTCCACATCTTAAAATATGGTTTTTGTCAAGGCTAGACAGTAAACAGCTATAGTAGTGGGGATCCAAACCACAATTAATAGTACTGAATGTTGTCTTACAAACCTGCCTCTTGATTCCTTAAAATAAAGAGCTGGGAGTAGCTGTGGCAAATGGACCTCAAATAATGTTACCAACAGAGATTTTGTGTTTTAGTTTCTTCACATAGTTTTTGTGTGTGTTTATAAGGAGCTACCTGATGGATTGATTGTAAAGTAGACTATGACATGTATCTGAGTGTAAAGTTATACGGAAACTGTCTTAACGCTTAATTTTGTTTAAATTACTTCAGTTATTTCTTCTGTGGCTAAGATTACAATTCAGAATCTTCAGTCTGAATATTGGTTGTAAAACAGTAAAGCAAATACCAGAATTATAGCCATAGCATCAGGCAGTGAACTAATGTGATGAGTTAGGCAATTTTAATTGTAGGGACATTGTCCCTTAGTTTCGGTATTTTTCAACAATCATACCATTTATGATTTTATTTTATTTTAGCCATGTCCTTTGGGGGCCCGAGATTTTCGAGAGAAACAGTGTGCAGACTTTGACAATATGCCTTTCCGTGGAAAGTATTATAACTGGAAACCCTATACTGGAGGTAATGTATAATCTGGCAGAGCATTCATCATGCTTGAGAGCTTTGCAAATATGAAAGAATATATAAATACATACAAACACACACATACTTTCATACACATACTAGTAAAAATTAGTGTTTGCAAATCAAAGCAGGAAAATGCTTACAGTACTATAAAGTTTCCTGTAATAAAGTTTATATGTTAGTAAAAATGATCAGAAATCGTTTTTTAAAAACTAATTCTATTTAACAGTGTTTTTAGAAACCTAATTCTATTCTATTCTATTCAAGTCCTGGAAAGGATATAAATCCAAATAATGTTTTTGAGTTCTTGAGACCTCCTTGGGATATATGGGCATTACATTATAATCATTTATAATCATTGCATATTTAGAATTATCACCCTAAAAACAGATTATAACAATATAAACCAACTAAAAAGTGGCCAGGAAAATCTGTATTCTTTCTTGGCCAAAGGCCAAGGATCTTCCCCTAGATTATTGTTATTCTTTTTTTAGTGTTGGGAAACATTTTTACCCTTTAATTTGGCATGTATCAAACACAAATTATTTAGTAAACACAAGAAGTTTTCTTGTACTCTCAAAATATAAATTAAATTTTGTTAGAATTTTCTCTTGGAAGAATTGAATACCCTTTTAAAAAACTTCAATGTTTGTTTTTTATTCTAACATCTTACTTTGAAAATTTTCCAGTGGAGCAGTATTAGAAGAATTTTACAGTGACATCTTTATACCCACCACCAAGATTCTACCATTCACATTTTAATATACTTCCTTTATTACATGTCTAGTCATCTCTCTATCCATTAATCTATTTTATTTTTTAGATGAATTTCAAAGTAAGTTGGAGTCATTAATATACTTTCCTCTAAGTACTTCAACACGTATAGCATTAACCACAGTTCAATATTTACTTTTTTTTGAGAGAGAGAAGATTATGTACAATGAAATGCACAAATCTTTTTTTTTTTTTTTTTTTTTTTTTTTTTTTTTTTTTTTTACATTTATTTTTTAGGTAGAGAGAGTGAGACAGAGTGTGAGCAAGGGAGGGGGAGAGAAGAGGGAGACACAGAATCCGTGGTAGGCTCCAGGCTCTGAGCTGTCAGCACATAGCCCAACACAGGGCCCCAACTCATGAACTACGAGATCATGACCTGAGCTGAAGTCAGATATTTAACTGGCTGAGTCACCCAGGCACCCCTTAAATGAACAAATCTTAACTGTACTCTCCCTGAGTTTTGACAATTGCATGCACCTATAAAACCCTATTGACATATAGAACATTACCATGCCCCCAAGATTCTCATAGTCCTCATAGTCCTTCCCAGTCAATAGCTGCCTCTACCTATTTCCTCCAAGAGGCAAACCACAGTTCTGATATTTCTGAATCTATTACCATAGATTAGTTTTGTCAGTTCCAGAACATCATATACGTGAAATCATGTCATATTTACTCTTTTGGGCAAGATTTCCTTAAGCCAAATGTTTTTGAGACCCATCCATGTTATTGCATGTATGAATAGTTTATTCCTTTTTATTGCTGATCAGCATTGTATTGTAATAAACAGTTTGTTTTCCCTTTCTGCTATTGATGGCCACCTGAGTTGTTTCTAGTTTTCAGCTGTTCTGAATAAGCTGCTGTGAACATTTGTGTACAAGTCTTTTGTGAGCATATGTTTTCATTTCTCTTGGGTGAATACTTAGGAGTGGAATTGCTGGGCAATAGGGTAGGTGTGAGTTTAGTTTTAAAAGTAATTGCCAGATGTTTTTCCAAAATAATGTACCATATTATACTCCCACCAATAGGTATGTTTGTTCCACATCCTTGCCAACATTTGGTATTTTCAATCTTCTGGCGGGTAGAAAATAATGTCTCTATGCAGTTTTAATTTGCAGTTTCTGACCAATGATTATGTTAACACATTTTTTTGTGGACATTTTTATGTGCTTGTTGACCATTTATAAGTCTTTTGTAAAGTGTCTGTTCAAATCCTTTGCTTGTTTTTAATTGTTTTTTTATCTTTTTATTCTTGAGTGGTAGTCATTTATCAGATGAATTTTATAAGTATTTTCTCCCGTCTTTGGACCTTCCTGTTACTTTTTTTTAATGTTTTTTTTTGTTTGTTTGTTTTTGTTTGTTTGTTTTTTTGAGAGAGAGGGTGAGAAAGAGAGAGAGCTAACAGGGGAGTAGCAGAGAGAGAGGGGGACAGAGGATCTGAAGTGGGTTCCGTGCTGACAACAGAGAACCCAATGTGGGGCCTGAACTCACGAACCGTGAGATCATGACCTGAGCCCAAGTCAGTTGCTTAACCGACTGAGCCATCCAGGTGCCCCTCTCCTATTATTTTTTAATGGTGTTTTGGATAAGTATAAGATTTTAATTTTGATGAATGCTAATTTTTCAATTTTGTTTCCTTTTATGGTTATTGTGTTCAGTGTCCTATCTTAGCAATCTTTGCCTTTCTCAACTCAGGAAGATATTTTCTTATGTTTTCTTCTAAAAGCCACATGGTTTTGGGGGCGCCTGGGTGGCTCAGTCGGTTGGGCTTCCGACTTCGGCTCGGATCATGATCTCACACTCTGTGAGTTCGAGCCCCGCGTTGGGCTCTGTGCTGTCAGCTCAGAGCCTGGAGACTGCTTCGGATTCTGTGTCTCCCTCTCTCTCTGCCCCTCCCCTGCTCATGCTCTGTCTCAAAAATAAATAAAAACATTAAAAAAAAAACAAATAAATAAAATAAAATAAAAAAATAAAAGCCACATGGTTTTGGTCTTTACATTTAGATATACAGTCTAAAAATAATTTGGGTGTATGGTATGTATTTGTAGTATGGAGTCTATTTTGTTTCTCTGATCTATTTGTCAACAATAGAAATGCACGACGAAATGTGCACAAGGCACAAAGAAATGAAATGGCAGCAATACTATGCTAGTACCACACTGACCTAATTATTATAACTGCATAGTCTTGGACACAGGTAGTGTAAGTTCCTCCAACTTTGATCTTTTTTCAAGAGTTCTTTGGATATTCTGAATGCTTTGCATTTCTATATAAATTTTAGAATTATTATTCATTTTTATAGAAAAACATGCTAGGCTTATGATTGCTATCATGTTGAATCTATAGATCAATTGAGGGAGAACTGATAAGTTAACAATATTATTTTGACACATTGAGTATTGACTTCAACAGTGAATTTATCAAAATGGTGTGTATATATATATATATCCATTTATTTTTATGTTTTCTTTAATTGCACTTCTTTTGTTAAACCTATTCCTGAGTAACTTATGGTTTTTGAACCTATTGTAAATAAAAGTTTAAAACATTTTTAATTATTTTCTCTAGTATATAAAATTAAATAGATTTTTATATATTAACTTTTTATTCTGTGACCTTTCTAAATTCCCTTCTTAGTTCTAAGAGTTGTCTTGTAGATTGTTTAGGATTTTCTTCATAAATAGTCATGTTATCTGGAAGTAGTGACTGTCTATAATAATCTTTATACTTTTTAATTCATGTTCTTGCCTTAATTCACTGGATTGGCCCTTTAGTACAACTGGTACATGTATGATTATATGTGTTTTTCTTTATTCCGTTAATATATGAATTGCTTGATAGATTTTATGTCAAACCAACGTTTTATCCCAGGATAAACCCCATGTGGTATTTATTTATTATCTTTTTATATGTTATCAGATATAATTTCTGATATTTTATTAAGGATGTTTGCATCTATGTTTATAAGGAATATTGATTTGTAAATTTTTTTTCTATCATGTCTTTGACAGGTTTGGGTATTAGAGCTACTCTGGTTTCCAGAACTAGAATCCCTATTTATTTTTAAAGAGTTTGTAGGATTGATATTATTTCTTCCTTAGAATACATTTCACTGGTAAAACCACTCAGACTTGGTATTTTCTTTGTGAAAAAAAAATTTACTACAAATTCAACTCCTTTAGTAGATAAATGGCTATTTAGATTTTTAAAAATTCTTATGTCTTAAAGGAATTTGTTACTTGCATATCCCATTTCTTGATAGAAAACTGATCATAACATTCTCTTACTATCCTGCTTAATATCTGTGGGCTCAGTAGTGATAAATGCTATTTCATTTCTGATATTGATAATATGTGTTTTCTCTCTTTTCCTTGTTCAATCTTGCTTGAGATTTATCAATTTTTTTAATCTTTTCAAAGAATCAACTTTTGGCTTTAGTACTTTATTACTTTTTTTTATTAATTTTTGTTCTTATATTTATTATTTTTAAATTTGGGGTTCATTTTGCTTTTCTGCATTCCCAAAACCTGATTTAAAAAAAAATTTTTTTAATGTTTATTTATTTCTGAGAGAGAGAGAAACAGACAGCGTGAGCGGGGGAGGGGCAGAGAGAAAGGGAGACACAGAATCTGAAACAGGCTCCAGGCTCTGAGCTGTCATCAGGGCTTGAACTCATGAGCTGTGAGATCATGACCTGAGCTGGAGTCGGATGCTTAACCGACTGAGCCACCCAGGTGCCCCCCGCAAAACCTGATTTTTAAAAAAATTTCCTTTAGTCCAGAATCTTTTCTTATTTACATTGTGATTTCTTGTTTGACCCATGAGTTATTTGAAGTATGTTATTTTTATTTCCGAATATTTGATATTTTCTAGATTTTTTTTGGTTATTAATTTATAATATAATTCTATGATCAGAGAATACTCTGTATGATTTAAATATTTAAAATTAATTGAGATTTGTTTTATAGTACAGCTTATTGTTCATGTTGGTAATGTTCATCTATACTTGAAAAGGATTATTTTCTTCAGTTGTTGGATACACTGTTCCACAGATATCCATCACATCAAGCTGGTTGATAGTGCTGTTTAAATCTTTTAAATTTGTTCTGACTTCCTCTTTCAGTTACTGAGAGAAGTGTGTTAAAAATCTCCAACTGTTAAAAATATGACTTTGCTTCTTTTTCTGTAAGTTTTTCTTCATGTAATTAAAATTGCTTTTATTAGGTGCATATACAATTGGGATTCTTTCATCTTACTGTAGGAGGGAAAGAAGTGTCTGAAATAATTAACAGATTTAATAATTAGCATCTAGATAATGTAAGCTTAGTAAATTAACCCTAAATTCATAATAAGCTTTCACTGAAGGTAACTGGTAATGATGTGACCTTCCATTTGGAGAATCATCTTAAATCCCTTCTCGAAATAAATGCAGTACATCTTCTGCAAACTCACTGTAGCTTAGGAAGCTAAACACATCTTCAGTAATAAAAAAGGAAGAAATGTATTCTTATTATCATCATCACATAGTGTAATGGTCTAAGGAATACATCCTTGGCATTTATATGTCCTACATATCAAATACTAACTTACATAATTAAATAACATTAAAATTGAGAGAACTCATGTTCTCTTTTTCAAGACAGATACACAAAAAGCTGCCTTAAATTCCAAAGCATTATAATAAAAAATGGGAAAAGAACTATATTGGGTAGTAATGAAAAAAATCGCAGTAAAATTCATTAAAATTTAGAGTAATTTTATTAATGAGAATCTTACAAAAATAAATATAAACACCTTGATTATCAGCTCAGGAAGAAATTATTTTATTTATTACTTGTTATTTTTGTGCTCAGTACAGCAAAGGTATCATTACCCTAAGTCTAGTAATAACATTGCAATTAAATAGAAGTTCTATAGCCTGTAAACATCAAAAATGGAAATAAACACAGAGTTAGGCCAGCGGTTGTCAACTGGCAGTTCACGAACCAGATTTTACTTATAAACATGTTTTAACCTCCACAGTATTTTTGAAAACTTTGAATGAATTACTAAGAAAAGTTTTTATTTTAAAAATCTAGGTTTTCAGATTCTCATGAAAAAAATAGAATTTCTGACAATATTGGGCCATCTTCTTGCATTATACAACAATCAACTTTAACAATGATCTCCTTTAATGAAATGTTCTCTCATTTACCATTGTCTCTACCACTCAGTTGTGTTGTCTCTTTTATTTCACATACTTTCACCCTGCAAAAACCTGGTTTCTACTTTCACTAAGACTAAGCATGTCATTTTTTCTTTCTGCCTTATTTTCTTTGCTAGAAGTAGTCTTCTTTATTTCAAAGAGAAATCTTATCAGCATAATTAAAATGAAGCCAAGTGTTTTTATTTTCTTTTTTTTTTAACGTTTTTTTTTTTTTTATTTTTTTTTTCAAAACGTTTATTTATTTTTGGGACAGAGAGAGACAGAGCATGAACGGGGGAGGGGCAGAGAGAGAGGGAGACACAGAATCGGAAACAGGCTCCAGGCTCCGAGCCATCAGCCCAGAGCCTGACGCAGGGCTCGAACTCACAGACCGCGAGATCGTGACCTGGCTGAAGTCGGACGCTTAACCGACTGTGCCACCCAGACGCCCCTGAAGCCAAGTGTTTTAAATGAAGGTTCAACAAAAGTGTTTTTAAATCATAATTTCAATCAATAGGTACATATTTTTATGTAGCTTTCTCATGCAGTATTTTGAATAAAATAAATTCATATATATTGCTACTTTTCCAATATACTATGGGATTATAATATTACTCTGCTTATTTTTTAAATTACTATTATTTATGCCCATTTTTCACATCAACCTTAAAAATACAAATTTGTGACAAAATGAAAATGATGACATTATTATATGCATTTATTCACAAAATTAAATTGGGTATTGTTTTATTTGTTCACGTTTAATGCTCCATGTAATATCTTTGATTTAGTAATAAGAATTATTCAAATCTAATGCTATAATTAACTTTACCTTTGATTTGCTTATCACATAAAAATTCATCTCTATGCTAAAGCCACATTCGTTGAATATGGTATGTTTAAACCAGGTACAAATTCAGAGGTGTTTTTGTTTTTGTTTTTGTTTTCATTTTTGTTTTTGTTTTACAAGTACCATATCCCTGCTTCAAGTAGCAGGGTTTTGTATCAGCTGCAGTTAACAAGGGACATATGTTGTAGAAATTTCCATTTGTTACAAGAAGTTATTGTGTCAAGCCTCCTCAAACTTTATTTTCTTAGTTTTTCTTTTAATGTTTATTTATTTATTTTGAGAGAGTGAGCAGAGAAGGGGCAGAGAGAGGGAGAGAGAGAATCCTAAGCAGGTTCCACACTGTGAGCATAAAGGCTGAAGTGGCACTCAGTCTCACAAAATTTGAGATTATGACCTGAGCCGAAAGCAAGAGTTGGATGCTGAGCCACCCAGGCCCCCGTGTTTTCTTAGTTTTTAAAAAATCTTCCATTTCATCCATTTTTTTCAACATTTAGGTACCTTTACTATGATCCCTTTTGACCTAAAATATATTGTTAAATATATATTGGAAATATGTGAACATTTTAAATTTTGAAACTGCTCAATGGATCCTCTGTCAAGTTTCACAAGCAATGAAAATAAGTGTGAAATTTTAGCAAAGAAGGAAAGAAACCTACACATCTGGGTATATAGTGACAGCATTATGTCTGTATAAATTGTAAATTTACTGTGGTTAATATGGAATCACCGTTTCTTACAAGAACGACTCCATTTATTTCTCTTCTGCTGTATTTGTCCAGGTGGGGTAAAACCTTGCGCATTAAACTGCCTGGCTGAAGGTTACAACTTCTACACTGAACGTGCCCCTGCGGTGATTGATGGGACTCAGTGCAATGCGGACTCACTGGATATCTGTATCAATGGGGAATGCAAGGTTGCTCCAATTACAAATTTCACTCCTTTTTGTTGGGGCTTTTGAGACTTCTGTCTTCTTTTCTCAGATATTAGCTCTTAATTAAAACTATGCTCAGTTTTAATAAAAGAGAGCTATATTTTATAGAAAATCAGATTCCAATTAGGTTGACAGTACATATAGATAAAGGTAGAATAGCCTATTTGCATTCAAACATCATGTAAATGTGATTTATTTTGATGTTCTAGTTACATGTATAGTGATTGCTAAAGTTCTGAATATATTTTGGACTTTAGTTTCTATTATTTTGCTCTGTTTACAAACAGACTGCAAAGATGATAGGAAGAGGGAACAAGGATGCAGCTCTTACTCATATGGCTACCATATGTTTTCACTGGAAGATTGTTTGATACATTTCATTATGTATTTTTTTCTCAAAGTGTGAAGTAGCTGTGTTCCTCCTACTTTGCCTCTTTTTGAAGCATTTTGAAACACAATGGTTTTCATTATAGAGTTAGTCTTTACCTTATTAAAGCGTTTATTTGAGAGAATTATCCAGACTAGTTGAGAGTTATTGGACCAAATCTATGCTATTTTCCTAGACCTGTGTATAAATCTGATCATAATAAGAAAAGTCACAAATACCACTGTCCTTGTAACTTTTTTTCTTTTTTGTCTTTATTTTATTTTAAAGAGAAGTACAACTCTAAGTCTTAGAAATTGAGAAAGAAGAGATAAACACATGATCTGTTTTACTTTGTATCACAATTTCTTACAAAAGTTTCTGTCCTTCTGGCTACTTGCATCCAAATATATCTGATGATCCTGTATGTGTGTGTGATTTCTGACAGTATTAATTTTTTTTTCAGAAAACAAAGACAAAAAGCACAGGTTTTATTCAGAGATCACATGCCTGTTATCAATGGCTATAGGTCATATATACAAATGCAAGTACCAAAATATGTACCAAAAATATATAAAAATCCACATTTCTGTGATTAAATGCAAAACTAAAAGGTAGAATTTCAGCTTCTAAAATCACATGCTTACATCTCCTTGTTTTTTATGACAATTTTAGTTAGCAAGTATAAACAGGTATTCAGTTTTAAAGGTTTACCCCGGTTTGAATTCCACAACTAATCCTTGACACTAACAATTGGGTATCCAAAAGAGCCAGTGATTTAGAAAGGTCAAACCATAAAGCTCAGTCAAGACTCCTGCTGTTATTACCTTGTGTAGGACAATATGACATTTTTCTTAATTCTTACATTTCTTAATCGAAGGTATAAATAAGAGCCCATTGCCAACAAACTATAAAATATTTTAAGATTTGGAGCATGCTATCTATAAATGAAAAAGAAATCTAGGTTAGAAATATAGACATACATTCCTGGGGAATCAAAAAATTTTTTTCTTTAAACTTACATGTTGCAAAATGTTAGCTAAGAACTTGCTCGAGGGTGAAGGAAAAAGTGGAAAGAGGAAAATATTTCCTGTTTTGATTTCCTTTACTGGAAAAACAAATCAGTTATATTTATTTGGTTAGTTATGGTTCCAAGAAATCCTCTTTATGACATACTGAATATTCTTCTCTGTTTTCAGCATGTAGGTTGTGATAATATTTTGGGATCCGATGCTAGGGAAGATAGATGTCGAGTCTGTGGAGGGGATGGAAGCACATGTGATGCCATTGAAGGGTTCTTCAATGATTCGTTGCCCAGAGGAGGTGAGTGTGTAGAGAGAACTCTTCCTCACACCTCTGATGTACTGGAATAGCCAAAACACTTGAATTCTTCCCCACTGCCTTCTTTTTAAATTTTTTGTTTAGGCAGACAATGTTTTTTCCCCCAAATTGCTTTCAGTCTCTTAAGTATCAATTATAGATTCATGTAAGATATTTTAAGGAAATATTATTCCCTTTCTACTTGACTTCATTTAGCCATGTTTTCCTAAGATGGAAATTCCCACAGAGCATTGATGGGAGGGCTATGTGTTGAGGAAAAAAAAAGCAAAACAAAACAAAACATGAGCCAATATGATACATCTTGGGGCTTTAAAGATTATCTTGAGATATTTTAGATAAAAAGAAAAATAGATGTGTTCATGAACCCAAAGGGGAATTTTCCCATATTTTGTAATTTTATAAAGTGTCAATCAAGTAAAGATTTGAAGAACAAGGAAGCTTATTACTAAATGGTTACTAAACACTCATTTTCTGACCAAGGCTGCACGTGCTGCTTATTACTGCCTATCTTCTATGTTCCAGGCTATATGGAGGTAGTGCAGATACCAAGAGGCTCTGTTCATATTGAAGTCAGAGAAGTTGCCATGTCAAAGAACTATATTGGTAAGTAGCCTATATTGCTAGAATTTTTAAATTACTGGGGAAAAGCAGCACAGTATCCTGCTATGAAAAGACATATTGCTTGAGTAGAACACTTTCATGCTAAAATGAAGGAAGTTGCAAGTTTTATAAGACCACACATAAGAGCTAAACAAAAAAATTAGGAATTTATAGCTCTTCACTGAGTTGGCTATTTGATTTTTAAAAATCTGTTTCATTGAGGTATTTATATATGATAAAATGCATTTATTATTTTTTATAAGTGTACATTTTGAAGGGTACTGGTAAATGTATATATATAAATTATAGATATGTAAATAAATATATAGGCAATAATAGAATTATTCATATGAATTATTAATATACATATGTTAATATGTAGTTTATTTTTATTTATTCTGGAATTTCACATGAATGGGATCATAAAGTCTATATACTCTCATGTCAGGTATTTTTCACCCACGATAATGTTTTTGAGATTCATCTATATTTTTGAGTAATAAGTTGAGTGTATCTGAAGTTTTTGTTGTTGTTGTTGTTGTTTTGTTTTTTTGTTTTTTTCTAAATAACATTTCTTTGTGGGGACATACCATAATTTGTTTATGTACTCACTTATTGGATAATTGGGTCATTTCCATTCTTTGACTCTTATGAATAAAGCTTCTTTGAGCAGTTATAGGTAAACATTGTGTAGACATATATTTTCATTTCTTCTGGATAAAAACCTAGGAGTAAAATGGCCTGCTCCTATGATAAATACACGTTTAACTTTATAAGAAATTACTAAACTATTTTCTAAAGTGGTTGTTATCACTTATATTCCCCCAAATGATATAGAAGAGTCTGGTTGCTCTACATTCTTGTCAATACTTGATATTGGCGGCCTTTTAAAATTTACCCTTGGAAATATCTTTTTTGTGGAGCGTCTCAACAAATATTTTGCCTACTTTACATTTTTTTCTTTTAATCAAATTATAAGGATCCTTTGTATATTCTAGATACAAGCCTTTGTTCAACTATATATTTTATGACTACTTTTTCCTAGGCAGTGGCTTATTTATTCCTGTTTAATGGGTATTTCAATTTTCATGAAATTTAATTTATTAATTTGTTCATGGATTATGCTTTTGTGTCCTACCTTACAAATTTTGCCACCCTCAAGGTTGCAAATATTGTCTTCAATGTCTCTTCAAGAAATTATAGTTTTAGCTCTTATGTTTAGATATATGGCCCATTTTGAGTTCTTATATAAGATATAAAGTAAGTGTTCAATTTTTTTCATATGGATATTCAATTACTATAGATAGTGCCATTTGTTGAAAAGACCATCATAGGGGCGCCTGGGTGGCACAGTCGGTTAAGCGTCCGACT